TCCTAGGGCCAGGAATATAGCTCAGTGGCATAAGCGCCTGCCTGGCAAGTACAAGGTCCCGAGTTCAGTAGTGGAAAAAACCAAAAAACAAAAAAAAACCCCAAAAACATGACCTCCTGATCTTACAGTTGGCCCAGGGATGGCATAATGAGGGATAGGGCAGGAACCAGGGCTCTAGCCTTTCTCCTCTTTGGTCTTTGCCTCTCTCCTGGCACTATACTCGCATTTTACTAAGCAATGTCAGCCTTGATGCCATTCTGTTTCACCTGGTACTGACTCATTCCAACCATCCCTATGGTGTTGGTAACACATTCTATTTCCTTTTGAAGGCATGACCTGGGTTTGAATTCTACACTAAGCACTCATAAAATTTAGGGAAATCAATCTCTCTTGGGGGTAACTTCCTTCTTTATACAATGTCAATAATTCCAGTTTTGCCCAACTCACACAATAAGGCTTGGCATAAGGGGGTAATGTGAGCAGAAAGTGATTCTAAAACTGTAAATAGCTATGTGAGATAACGAAAGCTGGAAAAAAATCAAACACCAGCTGAAAGAAGTGACAAAGGCACGTCTTAGAAAAATGAACTTATGTCCTGTGAAATCACCTAGGGCCCTGGCTTATGACCTCAGTTCTTCCAAAATGTTATGCTTCTCTACTCAAGGAAAGCACAAATTCAAATCACTAGTCAATGTGCCTTTATGTCTTTGTTTTAGAGAGTGTGCCAAATCATTGTGATGATGCTTTATTTACCTGTTTAGCAACATGTGAAGCCTAAATCACGTCTATCTCTCCTTGTACACTTTCAACGTTTCCTCCCATGCTCACCCCTAACGCGGAGAGGAGCCCCACACACGCCTGGTAACATGCCACACCAGCACTTGCCCTGTCAGCTCACCTGGCCTGAGGAGGAAGCCTGCAGCACTCTGCTCTCTCCTGGCATGCTCCAGCGTTTTCAGACACGGAGCCTTCTCCTGTGCCAACACTCAGCCACTTTCCTTTGATAATTCTCAGCTCCTACTAGGTGTTACTCCATTGCTTCTGTTTACAGTAACATCCCTTCAAGGAGCGACTCCCTTGTATCTCTAACTCCCACCTCATTCTCTCCCCAGCAGACTCCCACTGGACTTTCTCCTTGTAACTCGCGGGGTTAAGCTAGGCTGCCAAGGCCGACCACGTCTGATCATCAGTGCTCAGCCCCGGTGTTAGTCCTTGGTCTCTTTCTGAACACTCTACCAGCTCAAGGCCAAGGACCTCTCACTCCCTTCTCTCTTCTAGAGCCCTCCCCGATTTTACTTTTGGCATTTGTACTACATGATGTCTTCACAGCCCCTGAGGTTCTCTGTAGGCAGACAATTCAGGCCCTGATCCCTGCCTGCAATCCTCCTAGCCTGCGACGTGCCTCTGCCGCCTCCCATCGGACAACAGTGGTTCCTGCTTCTGCCTTGCTTTGGTTGTCTCTTAGCTGATGCGGTGAGCCTTTTAAAATCCAAGTCAGACCAGCAAGCTAGAGATGGGCAGGTGCTCAGTAACTGCTGGTGGGTGGGTGTCGAAGGGCCATGCTTACAGATGCAGGAGGGCAGGAAGGGAGAGTCACCTGAGCCTGGTGGACACAAGGGTGGGTGCATGCAGACACTACTGTCCCTTGATCCTGGGGCAAACCACTGGTTCCTCCTTTTACAAGGTTCGGAGATGCCCTGAGTCTCTCCAGGGTGCACAGCCACCACAGGTAGTGTATGCTCCAGCAAAAGGCGGCCTTGCTGAAGTTTTCTCTTTTTCACAGGCCAAAAGTGGGACAGGAATTCTTTATCCACCCATCCCAAATCTAAGGGAGACCTCTGAGAAACTTGGCTTGATGTCTAGAATCCTTTTACATTTTCCAAAGTTTCGGTGTAATGTTTGAGAAGTTGTCAAAATTTTTCTTAGAAAATGATGTTAATCTCCATGAATTTTGAGAATATTAGGTGACCTTACACATAAACCATTAATTACTGACATTACAACATGTTAAAGTAGGAATTTTAAATTACCCACTGAACAAAAAAATACCCACATTTTTCAAATTTGTACTTTTTGGAAAAGTATTTATTTTTAAATTAGTAAGAAAAGCCACAAAATGAGTTAGTGTTAAAAAAACTGAACATGAACTAGCTATGTCTAAATTATTAGTCTTTAGTATACCCCAAGTTTTTCCTTTTTAATTGAGTATTTTACAAAATAAAGACTCCTTATTTATACTTTGAAAGATGTGAATATGAGGTGAAGGTTATCAAAAACTGCTCAAAAATTTATTAGAACAAAAGAAAATGCTATATTTAATATAAAATCTATGACATGGAAAATGTAAAGAAAAGTAAGTGAAATGACAATAGAATATTTTCACTGTGTTGTGAGAATTTAAGAAAACTGACTTCATAAAATCGTAAAAAACTAAATTTTCATGAAATGTATAAAAATCTTTTGACTGGAGGGTTAACAACCTAGGTTTGCAGACCAAAACTAGAGAAAAAGGAGGGCTGCAAGGAAAGCCAACATTTTGGCCCTAGCCTTCCAAGGTCAATTAAGACTCAGGACATATGAGAATTTGTACTGTAACATC